TTTCCCATCTGCCAGTTTCCCACCTCCAGAGAAGAATACCATCTTTAAGCTTCAACTGGTCCCATTGTGCCCAATAGTTCCTTGTCACAGGGCTTAGACTAGACACCTTCTCCCAAGCAGGGTGCAAAACACTTGCTTTTAGAAAATCAGTTATTGGCTTCAAATCTTGATCTTTCTACTGCTCTGCTTTAATATCTATACCTGGTTCCACTTCACCATCATCAACTTCTTCAGTCACTTTGACTTCAGCTTGGTGGCACCTAGTTAGTTCAACTTCTCTTTTAACAGTTACAGGAATTTGGCCTTTGTTGTTCCAAACGTCATTTTACCAAAATTAATTACAAATTTCCTCGGGAGTAAGTAGTCCAACCCTAATATGCATTGATCTTCAATGTCAGCCAAGTATACTTTGAGTCTGTCCTTCATGCCCATGAGCTCAATAGTTACCCACACTGGTCCCCACAACCTTGCAGAATATCCTGTCACACCACAGAGCTTCTGTACAGCTTCTGGTACTCCTTTGTTATCCAGCATCTTGATACTCACAAGGGTTTACTGAGATGCAGAATCTATGACAAAGTTGCACCTTTGGCCATCCAGCTTTCTTGTCACGTAGATACTATGTGTGCTTGGCATTTTACACCCAGCTGTTGGGACTTCCATGATGAGGTTTGGTGGGTATCCCTCAACAACAAACACTACTGGTCTCCCAAAAGCTGACTTGTTGGTAATATTCTTCTTACACTGGCTTCTCATATGTCCTTGCTCTCCACAGTTCCAACAACCTTTCTGGGTAGCAGCTTTTCCTGCTGTGACATCTTCCCTGTGTTGAAGTTTCCAACATTGAGCTCTCTTGTGCCCAGGTTTATTACAGTGCCAGCAAAGTCCCTCAAACTTCTCTGAAAGCTGCCCTTTTCTGGCCTTGAATCCTGATGACTGTACCAAACTTAGTATCTCTGTGCTGGACTTAACATATGATTCGAATTCAAGAGCTCTGGCCATTGCATCCTGCATAGTAGAGGGGCGTGCTTGCTTTATTTGTATCTTTAGTTGTGGACTGTCCACGGCATCTACAAACTGATCCCTCAGCAACAGCTTGAGGACATCAGGTGGCGCAGTTGGGTTGGCTTTGTGTGCCATACTTTCCAAATTCTGTGCCAGCTCTTACAGGCTCTCCCCTTTAGCGCGGACTCTAGTCCTAAACCTAGCCCTGAAGACTTCAGACTGATTTTGGGTTTCATACCTGAATTCTAGAGCAGCCACCAGTGCTCTATAATTGTGTCTGTCGTCTGCTGACAACTGTCCAAGTATTTCCAGTGGTTGTTCCTTCAAGTTCGTTGCCAGATATACTGCTTCCTGCTCCTCTGTCCATCCATTCATCTCTGCCAGGAGCTCAAATTGTGCTCTATATGCTTCCCATGGTGCCTTCCCATCGCATTCCTGTGGCTTCCTTCGTACTAGATCACCCCAATTGCTGACATTCATATCTGGGATGTGACTTCTAACAGTACTGAAGATGTCTGCATTAGGGTTTAGCTGCGGGTTCTGGAATGGCTTCCCGTTGTCTGAGGCTGATTAAGTCGATCATTAATGTATCCCCCTTGTGTAAAAGACAATAAATCATCCTTTAATGTATTTAATTCGCTTTTAAATTTACAAATGTTTTCCATTTGTACTTTTTGCCATTGTTGTTGACTTTCCTGTAGTTGCTGCTGACTTTCCTGCAACTGTTAGATACTTTCTTCCTATTTCTTTTCTTGTTCTAGTTGCCACTGCTGTAATCTCTCTTCTTGTTTATTTTCTTTCTCCTCCAACCACTGCTGTAGCCTATCTTCTTGTTTCTTTTCTTTCTCCTCCAACCATTGCTGTAGTCTCTCTTTTTGTTTATTTTGCTGTTCGAGCTGCCACTGTTGCAGGTTTTCTTGCCTCTGCTGTAATCTCTCTTCTTCTTTCTTTTCTCGTTCTTCTTGTTTCTTTTGCTGTTGTTGTATTGCTGCCATCAAATTTGCTAAGTCCTAGTTGGATTTGGCACTTCTCGTTTTCATCTTTTTTTCTTTTCCTTCCCACTGACTGACACCAATTTGTTAGGTTTATGCTCGTTTGATAATTTCTGGTAGAAATGCTACCCGAGAAACTTCAGCGATACAAGTCATTTCTTAAATAAAACTAGTTTATTCTTTCTCAAT